GGCTGGATGGCATCACCGACTGGATGGACATGAGTTTGAGTAAACTCCGGGAGTTGGTGATGGACAGGGAGGCCTGGCGTGCTGCGATTCATTGGGCTTCGAAGAGTCGGAGCGACTGAGCTACTGAACTGAACTGAACTGAACCGAGTCATGAGGAGCTGACATCACCTGGATGGTCTTGTCTAGATATGAGAAGAAGCAAGGATTGGGATTGTGAAATCAGTTTAACTGAAAATACCTTATTCTATAAAACCTGTTCCACCAGTTTCCCTGAAGCACTGAATTCATCACTCTCCACCCTGAACTCCCTTTAGGCCTGCAACAGATCAACAGCTGCAGTACCACAGGGTTCCGATTTCACAGAGGCTGATGGTCAATTTCCTTGGCAAGCACCAATTTGTAGTTGACAATGGTGATACTTCTTCCAGAAGGAAGAGATCTCACTTCAATCCATAACTAATATAGAGTAAAAGCTATTGAAGTTAATCAACATTTGAAGGAAGATCAGAATTTTCTTTAAAAACAGTCTGAAGTCAGTTGTGATTTTTATGAATAGGTTGATCAGAATCTGTGTGCAAGCCTGAATTTTGTTCCAATCCACAGGCTTTGGAAAAGCCATAGGAATTACTTGGTGAAGTTGCTTAGCAAGTTTCTGAACCTGATTACATAATAAGCAGATTGTTCTATTTGTAATCCTGAGCATGTTTTAAGACTTTCTCAATCAGCAGTTTTCACCCAATGCTGGACCTGGCCTTCACTGATGAGCAGATGAACTAGCTGATATAAGTTAGAGAAACCAGGTTTATAAGTTTGAATGGCTATATTAAATTCCCCAGTAAAAGTGTGAGGATATTTGTTTACTTTGGGAAAGTCTTTGACTATGCCTCACAGCTCAGCTTTAGTCCAGGGAATATAAGGTATTAAAGATTTAGCCTCTGGATCCTCAAAAGGCTTATTTGAAAGAAGCATGTTCTGACAAGTTCAGAAGAAAAGAGAATGGGGAGAGTTTCAGAGATAAAGGGAAATTTGTCCCGAGAATGTATATAGGGGGATTGAAAGTATAGTGGAGGCATAGAAAGGAAGGAGGAAGATAGCACCAAAGGTCGAGCCTGAGACAAGCCGAGGAAGAAGGACCTTGGGGCTTTGAGAGTTGCTTTATCTTGCTTTAATCATTTGTTTTCCTGGGTAAATTTGAAAATCTAATTTTGCAGACAGGCGATTTTAGACTTCTGATAATGGGAAGCCTCAAAACACCAATTAAAATAAGCATTCCACTCAACTTTGGAAAATTTTAAGCTATTGTAGCCCAGTTGGGTTTTAAGGAAATTAAATTTTGTGATATCAGGAGTTACCCATAATGGTCATTCATATTTTAATGTGCCTTAGGTCAGGTTGGTCCATTTATTTAGAAATACCTCTGAGGAACCCTGGTAGCTCAGCTGGTAGAGAATCCGCCTGCAATGCAAGAGACCATGGTTTGATTCCTGGGTCAGGAAGACCCTCTGGAGAAGGGTTAGGCTACCCACTCCAGTATTCTTGCTTGGAGATTTTCACGGACAGAGGAGCCTGACAGGCTCCAGTCCAAGGGGTTGCAAAGAGTCAGACATGACTGTGTGACTTTCACTTCACATGAGGAAGGACCATGGGTTTTAAACATCAAATTGGCCTGAGTCCCTGTAAGAATTAGGGGAGGCAGGGGCTTAAAATACTTAGATAAGTGGGTTGGTTCTATTTCCTTGAGGTTTTTCCTCTAGAGTAAAGAACCTGTTTCAAACAGCTTAAACAGCTTGCAGCACAAATGGTTCAATTCAGAGAGCTTGCAAGACAATCCCAGCCAATTCAAAGGAAACAGCTTAAAGGATCCAGGCTAAAGGCTTTTTCAGACAGTTTCCAGAGAATAGTCTTTTCAAAAGAATAGGCCAAAGGCTGAGAATCCTGGCACTGTTGCAGAGAACCCCTGTTTTCAAAGGAATGGGCCGAAGGTTAGCCAGCTTCAGAAGAAGCAGCCCCTGTTCTGAAGGGAATAGGCCAGTTTCAGCCCCACAGTCTGATATTGAAATCAGACCCACATACAAAACACATACAAAACAAAGCCTTAACCAGAAAGATGAAAACTTTGAGCAGGTTCTGAATAAAGCCTGGAGAGCTTCTCATGAGAAAAGAGTGTGAGTTTGGATCCAAGAGAAACACTTGCCTTTAAACTCCAGGGTCAGCATGAAAAGCAGTGAGCAACAAAAAGGCCCCATTGTGGGTACTACACCTGTATGTTCACCAGTCCTGGAGTCATCACGTGTCTCCTCTGGTCCTTGCAAGGGCCACCAAAATGTTGGCCTAAAACAAACTGAGTGTGAGATATTTCGCAAGCAAAGATGTTTATTCGGGATCAGTAACGAATTGCAATTTGGATTCCGCAGCCATGGTAAGCCATGTGCAGGTTCCCTCATTGCAAGGAATAGAGATGCTTTTATAGAGAGAAAAGGAAGTTGGGAGGGCTGAAGTAAACAAAGGGTCCATGGCTTTTCCTTGGCCGAGTTCTCCCTAGGAAAGACGAGTCTTCTTCCTATTAGGTTCTCCTGTAGCTGCAATGTGTGCGACATCTCCCTTTTGATCTCCCAAATCTAGTTATTTGAAGTTTCTGTTTATTTGTATTTTTATAATTCCTACCAAATCAGCTCATTAGGTAAGTGGCAACTCACCTGCACTTGCTTAAATTTATAATGATGCAGGATAATTGTTGTTATAAATATAAATTAATAGCTAGCTATATTTCCCAGGCAAGAATTCTGGAGTGGGTTGCCATTTCCTTCTCTGGGGGATCTTCCTAACCCAGGAACTGAACCCTGTGTCTCCTGCATTGGCTGACAGATTCTTTACCACTGAGCTACCAGAGTGGCCATAGCTACATGAAAGACACAATGAATTTGGTACATGAAAAACTTTGGTCTAATACATATGCCATGTTTTGTTTATACATGGACCAGCTGATAGATATTTGAGTTCTTTCTATTGTTATTTTGAAGAATGCTGCTATGAACATTTGTGTACAAATCTTTGTGTAGACATCTATTTTTATTTCACTTCAGAAAACCCATAAATAGAATTCCTGGGTTGTATAGTAGGTGTACATTTACATTTTTAAAACACAAACTGTTTTCCAGGAGAGCACTAGTTTGCACTTCCACTAGCAATGTATGAGAGTCCCACTTGTACCAGATCTTTACAAACAATTTGCATTTCAGTCTTTTTAAGAAATTCTAATATGTGTATAGAAGCATCTTACTCTGGTTTTAATTTGCATTTCCCTATTGATCAATCAAATTGGCCATTATTTGTTAACACTCTATGCAGATCTTTTTTCTGTTCCTTAAAATTGAATTATTTCCTTATTGAGTTGTAAAAGTTCTTAATTAGATGTGGACAGAAGTCCTTGTCAGGTATATGCTTTGCAATTTTTTTTCCCCAAGCTGTATATTGCCTTTTCATTTTCTTATTTCAACAAGCAAAAGATTTTAATTTTCTGAAGTCTATTTATCACTTTTTAAATTTGTGGTTCATGCTCTTTGTGTGTTGTCCCAAGGTCACAAAGGTTTTTCTCCTCTGCTTTATTTTATACAATATATGGGTTTTGCTCTTACATTTAGGTCTGTGATCTATAGTGAATTAATATTGGTATATGGTGTTAAGATCAAAGCTCAGTTCTTTTCCATGTGGATATACAGTTATTACAAAAACAAAGCAAAACAAAAACCTTGATCTAGGATAATATTTACTTAAATTTTTATTTTACAATGGCATTGGAAGATTCTGATTATTATGTCTCATAATATTAGATATTAATGCATAATATTGCTGATTATAGTCATATTTTCCATTATTATTCTGTTAAAACATATATTGGATTTCCCTAGTGACTCAGATGGTAGGGAATCTTCCCACAATGTGGGAGACCCAGGTTTGGTCCCTGCATATGGAAGATTCCTTGGAGAAGGAAATACCTACCCAGTCTAGTATTCTTACCTGTAGAATTCCATGGACAGAGTAGCCTGACAGGCTAAATACACACAACATTTATCTTTTCTTATTCTTGTTGGTGCTTACCTACAAAATATAGCCTATAATTTTAGCCATCAGTTTTTGAGTAATAGTGTTTTCTGGGCATTGTATGAATTATTAATTGACAAATTGCATTTGAGTGCAGAGTGCCTCATTAAATTTTTGTGTGTCTGTTCTTATTTCTAAACTGAAATCTTATGTCCTGAATTTTTTTTTTTTTAATTTTCTTATGGTTTTGGTTTTCAAAATTTTGGATATTATTCTTCAAAGATTTTATTAAAATGCTGTTCTTATTTTTTTTAGTTATTTACCTGTTACCAGAATGAAATAAATAATCTAAAGAAATGTCAAAGATGAAGGGAAGTCTAAACATTTAGAGTAGAATGTGAAATCTTCTTTAATGTGCTATAAAGAAAATCCCTTCAAAAATCCCATTGTTAAGATACTAATTAAAATTACAACAATCCACATTATAGTATAGCTCTTTCTTTTTTTCCTAATGTTTATGACACTTTCAGGTATTCCATGGGCAAGAAACATTTTCTCTAATTATAAAAGTTTCTAAAACAAATATGGAAATACTAAAGAGCATTGCAGCAATTAAACAACTAAACTAAAAATATATTCTCTTTAGCATCATTATAATGCCTGAAGAAAGAAAAAAAAATTGAAAAAATTATCAAGTCAAATCATAATTTCTGTCTTGTTTCTCTCCCCCTCCCCCCAATGTCTCTCCCTCATTTCAACATTTAAGAGATTCATTCTCCTGCTGGTTGTAATGCGAATGAATTTCAGTGTCACCCTGATGGAAACTGCATCCCTGATGTGTGGCACTGTGATGGGGAAAAAGATTGTGAAGATGGTAGTGATGAAAAAGGCTGCAATGGTACCTTAAGATTGTGTGACCACAAAACCAAGTTTTCCTGTCGGAGTACAGGTAAGCAGAACACTGGGTTCTACATACACCTTGGGCTTGCTTCTTTAATGCAGATTTCTTTTGGGCCCTTTTCAATCCATACTTTACATTTATAAAAAGTACCGTTGTGTTTCTACTACATTTGCTGGCATTCTATACATGACAGTAGTAATAGCTAATATTCACTGAGAATTGTCTGTGGACTTGGCACAGTTCTAAGAATGCTCTCTGTGTGAACTCATTTCAACATTCTAAATCACAATGAGAAAACTGAGCCCCAGAGAAGTTTTAACTTGCTCAAGTAAACAAGTCAAAAGAAGCTTTAATTGGCTGGCACCCAGAACCATCATGGAAGAATTGGGATTTGAAACCAGGCAATCTGGGCTTCCCTGGTGGCTCAGGCAGTAAGAAATCTGCCCGCAATGTAGGAGATGGGTTCGATCCCTGGATCAGGAAGATCCCCTGGAGAAGGGAATGGAAACCCACTCCAGTATTCTTGCCTGGAGAATTCCATGACAGAAGAGCCTGGTGGGTTACAATCCATGGGGTCACAAAGGGTCTGACACAACGAACACTAATCTGAATTCAGACTGGAATTTCACAGTCCAGAAAGAGACATGCATGCAGAACCCATGGACATCATTCTCCTTCTCATAGATGAAACTTCACCATGAAATTGAAAGAAGGTGACTCAAAAAAGGCCAAGTAATATGCATTTATTTTCAACTAGTTTTCTAAATTTTACTGTGCTGTTGCTAGCCTCTGTTAAGATGAGAGTGATGACTCTTCACAGTAAACCAGGCTGAGCTCTATATGTTATATTTTTAAGAGTCAGGTGACTCCTCTCAATTTGTATACAAAGATTCTTAGTTTGGGGTTCTTGGCTAATGGAATGTGGTTTTGAGTTTAGAAATTATACTTTTGAAATATTTTATATTAATAAAAATTAATGAATAACATTAAATGAGTGAACTCTGCGGTCAAATGGGTATATCTTTCCTTTTCTCCTTGCCTTTAGCTTCTCTTCTTTTCTGTTATTTGTAAGGCCTCCTCTGACAACCATTTTGCCTTTTTTGCATTTCTTTTTCTTGGTGGTGGTTTTGATCACTGCCTCTTATACAATGTCACAAACCTCCATCCATAGTTCTTCAGGCACTCTATCAGATCTAATCCCTTGAATCTGTTTGTCACTTCCACTGTATAATCGTAAGGGATTTGATTTAGGTCATACCTGAAAGGTATAGTGGTTTTCCCTACTTTCTTCAATTTAAGTCTGAATTTGGCTGAGCGCTGAAGAATTGATGCTTTTGAACTGTGGTGTTGGAGAAGACTCTTGAGAGTCCCTTGGACTGCAAGGAGATCTAACCAGTCCATCCTAAAGGAAATCAGTCCTGAATATTCATTTGAAGGACTGATGCTAAAGCTGAAACTCCAATACTTTGGCCACCTGATGCGAAGAACTGACTCATTGGAAAAAACCCTCATGCTGGGAAAGATTGGAGATGAGAGGAGTAGGGGATGACAGAAGATGAGATGGTTGGATGGCATCACTGACTCAATGGACATGAGTTTGAGTAAGCTCTTGGGAGTTGCTGATGGACAGGGAAGCCTGGCATGCTGCACTCCATGGGGGTCTCAGAGTCAGAAGTAACTGAACTGAAATGAGTGAATGATTGATTAATTTAATAAGCAAGTTTTAATTTAACAAGCTAATTCTGATACCAAAGAGCCAATTATTTGACTCAGGTGAACATTATTCTAAGTGTTTATTGTGAGTATACTTTCTCCTGTTGCTTCTGTCATTTGCTTGATTGAGTTAATGCTGAAATATATCAGATAACAGTCTTTATTGGGAATATGAAACTGTCAAGGCTATAGGAAAACATAATATAAATTTACTTAGAAAATCCTGAACTGAAACTAACTGAATACACTATTAAGATTTAGGAGTGAAAAACATAAAAGCAGCCTGAAATTTCCTTATAAGGAAAATATAAATGCTTTCATAATAAATAAATAAATTATAAATGCCTTCATAATAAAGTAGTTTCTAAAAGGTGTATGTTAGTAAAAACTGGTTTGAACTATGACAAAAAATATGGAGAGAAAATGTAATAAATAACACCATTAAGTAAATTTAATAGGAAATTCCAATTGATTGTGATTTATCTTATATGCGTTTTGATATTTTGCAATGAGCTCTTATGAAATAGCTTTTTCTGAATATGATTCAACTTAAGAATAAATCTGTGTTATGATGAGGATGGCTAATGTAGGGAGGAAACAATCTTTTCCTCTATCCACAGAGGGAGAAGACAAAGGAAAAGTAATTTGAGTTTATAGGTATGGCAAATTGTGGAAAGGTAAATATATAGGAAAATTAATGGAAGAAAAAAGCTAGTTAGTAACATTTATGTATCATATCTTCTTTATCCCTTTTTTGTACTGCACCTTCTTTATCCCTTCCTCTGTGGATGGACATTTAAGTTGCTTCCATGTCCTGGCTGTTAGTGTTGCAATGAACATTGGAGTGGATCTGTGTTCCTAAACTATTGTTTTCTCTGGATATATGCTGGCAGTGGGATTGCTGACTCATATGGTAGCTCTCTTTTTAGTATTTTTAAGGAACTTCCAAATTGTTCTCATAGTGGCTGTGCCAAGTTATGTTCCCACCAACAGTGTAGGAAAGTTTCCTTTTCTCCGCACCCTCTCCAGCATTTATTGTTTGTAAATTTGTTGACATTTATTCTGACTGGTGAGAGGTGATCAATACCTCATTGTTGTTTTGATTTGCATTTTTCTAATACTTAGTGATTTTGAGGAGCTTTTCATGTGTTTGTTGGCCATCTGTATGACTTTGGAGAAATGTCTAGGTCTTCCACTCAGTTTTTCAATGGGTTGCTTGTTTTCTTCCTTTGGGTTGTCTGAAGGTTGCTTCATCTGCAAATTTTTTTTTTTTTCCAAATTATCAGGTTGTCTTTTTGCTTTATTCCTGATTTTCTTTGCTATTCAAATTTTTTTTAAGATTAATTAGGTCGCATTTGTTTAGTTTTTATTTTCCAGTACTCTAGGCATGTGTGCATGCTCAATTGCTAAGTTATGTCTGACTATTTGTGACCTTACAGACTATAGCCTGCCAGGCTCCTCTCTTCATGGGATTTTACAGGCAAGAATTCTGGAGTGGGTTACCATTTCCTCCTCCAGGACATCTTCTCAACCCAGGTATCAGACCTGCATCTCCTGCATTTACAGGCGGATTGTTTACTGTCTGAGCTACCATGCATATGTGTAATTGATTCACTGTGCTGTGCAGTAGAAACAAACACAGTATCATAAAGCAACTTCATTTCAGTATTTTTTTAAAATAACATCGCAACATGTTTTTTTGTAAATAACATTAAAACGTGTAGATTCATCTTGATATCGACTTTTCATCATCCTCATGGCCCTAAAACTTTCCTGAAAAAGGGTTTTGTGGCAGTTCTCATTTCTCAAAAGTTTATATGGGAAATATGGTATTACATGGTGACAATAGTTGTTAACACTGAATTGTTAAACTGAAATTTACTAAGGGTGTGGAGCTTAAGTGTTCTCATAATAAATGAATGAAGAAGAAAAGAAGAAAGGAAGGAAGGGTAACTATGAAAAATAGTAATTAAACCATTGATCTCCTTCTAATTTGATCTCTGAGTTAAATTTAGTAAAGTGAAATTTGTCAAACTTCTTGAGACATAATAATTGGCAAATATATTATGAATATTTTTGAACATTGCAGATATTAAAGGGAACCAAAAATATAAATGAATATAAACATTGGATTAAGAATATGTGCACATCTATAAGCTTTTTTGATATTTTAAAATTTAATTAAATTTTCAATTTTATGAACGAAATAAAAAACTTTTTTCAAGATGTTGAGTTTAGAGTTCATGTTCATTTTTTTAAAAAGCTTCTAAATATTAGCTTGAGCTTTTAAAGTTTTCAGGGCAATTAATTTATATTTGGCAGTTACAGTGGATTTTCATTTATGTACAAATTGCTGTCTACTAGTATAAACATGTAGGTATATTAATGTTTCTTTATTTCAGTAAAGAACTATACTGTCCCACATTTGGTCTCTCAAATTTCAGACCAACAGCTTGCATAAGAGTTAACACTTGAACAAGAAAGGTTTGAACTACATCCCTTTAGGCAAATTAAAAAAAACAAATAAATGTGTTGGAAACTTTTTTGGAGATTTGCAACAATTTGGAAAAAACTCATAGGGAAACCACATAGCCTAGAAATATTGAAAAAATTAAGAGACATATATTATGAATGCATAAAATATATGTAGGTACTAGCCTATTTTACAATTACTACCATAAAATCTACACAAATCTATTATAAAAACTTAAAATTTATCAAAACTTAAACAAACACTTAACAGACCAGACATGGTGCTATTTGCAGTCAACGGAAGTATTAACAAACATAAAGATGCAGTATTAAATCACAACTGCAAAAAATAACTGTAGTACCTACTATAATAATTTTGTAGGTATGTCCTGTTACTATTTCAGTGAGTTCAACTGTTGCTAGTATCAGCTTCAAACACCATGTGACACTAATCATCTCCTCATCACCAGTTTTTCTCTCCAACAAATTGTATATTGCAAGAAAAAGTGATCTCTTGCAGTTCTTGCATATTTTTCATTGTGTTTAGTTCAGTGCCATAAACCTTGAATAGCACCATGGAACCTATACAAAGTGCCACTGGTGATGCTGGAAGTGCTCCCAAGAAGCAAGAGAAAAGTTGTGGCATTGCAGGAATTTGAGTTGCTTGATATGTCCTGTAGATTAAAGCCTGCAGCTGCAATTTCCCACTATTTTAAGGTAATGAATCTGCCATAAAAACAACTGTTTAAAAAAAAAAAAAAGGGAAGAAGGAAAAGGAAATTTGTGAAGCCATTACTACAGCTATGCCAGCAGGTGTAAAAACCTTGCACTTTTTCTGAGTTATCTTTTTATCTTGTATTGAA